GCTGCGGGAGGCTGTGTGGTCACGAGGTGTGGTCTGCGGGCATCACCGGGCATCACCGGGCCCCACGGCGTCCGCCAGCCAAGGGCGTGGCTGGGGGGAGACTGCGCCTCCCTCTGTGGCCTGGGCGGGTCCCTCTCACCCCCAGCTCTGCCGCTCCTGAGAGGCCGCGTGCATTTCCTAGGGAGGAATTTTGATTTCACTTTCCTTCTGTCATTTCTCCAATTACGAAAACTCTCCTCTTAATAATGAGCTCCCTAAGTCTTCTTTCTGATTTCTCCTCATTTTTCCAAACATCGTGTCAGGATGAACATGACCCAGAACCTCGCATTCCCATTGGGAAAAGCAACCCCCAGAGGTGCTCAGCCCTGGGAGCTGAAGTAGAGTCAGTGAGCAGAGCTGGGGTCCTTCCGCCACCCCCGTCCTGGCTCTCGCTGGCCTCCGATTCCCACCCGGACCCTGGACGCCTGGGGACTGTTTTCCAGGAATGCCATCATAATGAACGCCACCCCATCCCCCTTCATTCCTGCACTTGTTTGGAAGTGACCCTGGTGTTCCTGTTCCGTTTGTGGTTGTACTTGAAACTTGCAGGCATGCTTCTCAAAGTTCGAGGTCCCCCGGCATCTCTGCCTTCCCGTCGAGGGAGGCGAGCACGTGGGCCTGCCAGCTGGGGTCCGGTGCGTCTGGGAGGGGCGCTCACCACCGAATCCCAGCGCCTCCCTCTGGGGCCCAGCCAGCACTTGTGGAGAAAACGCAGCACTCATCAGCAAGTTGACTTGGGGTGTGTGGTTCCTGGTTATTCAGACCAAAGTCTGTGTGTCCGCAGAGTGTGGGACGGAGGTCACCTGGTCTTGGAGGTGCCGCCTTCTGTCTCTCTGGGCCTCAATCACTTTTTCCTTTTCTTTACTCAAATGGAGTTCAGTGTCTTTGCCAATAAACATGAGAAGGATCCTTTTTGGGGCTGAAGTACCTCTCAGCTGTGAAATATGATCCTTAGCAGGAAGATGGTGCGTTTCAGTCTGTAATTTACACCGCAGTGAAAAACAAACCAGGACAGCAGGATTGAGTTCATATTTCTTGTTTTAGGTGAAGATTAAATTTTTACGGTAACTTTTTTGCATTAAAATGTTCTAAAGCTTTTAGATGCTGTTAGTCTTGGGTTTCACGATGAATATGTATCCCTTTCTAATTAAAAATCTTGTGTTATTTTACCTCATTTGGGGGATATGATTAAATTAACAGCAAAACGCAACCTGGGTAGACCCCCGCTGAAGTCACACTCAGCTGTTCAGCCCTGAGCAGTGCTTAATCAGCTCAGTCCTTCCCTAGACACCTGTGTGTTTCTGCATCTACACCACGTCCCTCCTTGGGCATCTGGATGCCAGGGCGTGTGGGAATTCACAGGCCCTGGGGTTACAAGAGCGGGTGGATTGTGCGCCCCCTGGGGACATCCCTGCTGAGGGGCT